ATTCTCTCTCTCTCTCTCTATCTCTCTCCTTTTTTTCTGGTTCTCTGAGAATCGCCTTCAGTTATCCCTCCTGCTTACGGGATTTTTATTCGCTTGTTACTTGTTCTTATTTTTCTAGATTACATCTCACCCCCCCCCCCCGGCAATCCCTCCCTTACGCCTTGGAAACAGCCTTCGTTTTTCTCTCTCTCCTTTGATCCACTTTATCTGGAATAACTCTTAACCCCCTCTTCACCCATCCGGCCGTCACTCTCTTCCCCTTTATCCTGGTTTTATCCCCCTTTCGACGTCTGATGCCTGACCTCGCGTGACCTCTTGCTCCCCCAGGCTGCGGGCGGCGCCGGGCGGAGGACGGTGCGGTTCGCGGTGGCCATCTGGTTCCTGGCGGTGGTGCTGGCCACGCCCGCCGGCGTGTTCTCCCACGTGCAGGTGTTCCAGGTGTCCGAAGGGAAGACGATCAGCGTGTGCTACCCCTTCCCAGACTACCTGCCGGTGGTACCCGCAGACTAACATCATCATCAAGGCTCTCTTCTTACTACACTGCTGCCGCTGGTGGTCATCGCCACCTTTCTACCTGCTGATTGGCGCGGCACCTGCTGGCCTCCGACGACGTGCCCGGCGAGTCGCGCGTCTTCCACGGCCAGCGGAGGACGCGGAGGAAGGTCGCCCAGATCGTGCTGTGCTTCGTGCTCATTTTCGCCGTGTGCTTCCTGCCGTCCCACGCGTTCCTGCTGTGGTTCTACCTGGACCCGCTCGCCTCCGTCAAGTTCAACGGCTTCTGGCACGCCCTCAGGATCATCGGCTTCTGCCTCAGCTTCATGAACTCGTGCATCAACCCCATCGCCCTGTACTGCATCTCCGGCACCTTCAGGAAGTACTACAACCGCTACCTCTTCTGCTGCTGCCGCTGGGTCGACCAGGGGCACCGCACGCGCGCCTTCCTCCGGCCGGGCCGCTCGGGGATCTCGGGCTGCAGGTCCTCCACGCTGCGGGCCACCGAGACCATCACGCTGACGACGCTCCTCAACGAGCGCGCCTCGCCCGCCGCCTCCTGACACGCGCCCGCGGGAGGGTGCTCCGCCGCGCCGCTGCGCCCGCACTCGCCCGACGCCCACCACGACGGCTGCGACGGCAACTTCCACAAGTTCTCCTCGCCCAGACGCCGGGGCTGCGAGGTCCTGGCCAACGACTGCGACGACATCGAGAGCACCAAGTGCGTTTACGAGGTTGTGGAGCTGTAGGGGTTGTGAGCGGCTGACAAGACGATGGGCCGACGAGGACATCCCTCCGAGGAGCAGGTCCGGCGGGGAATCCTCCCGGGCCGCGGAACGCCCGAACGCTTCGAATCCGTGAGCGGGAACCAAGACATAAAAGACCATTCGTAATATCCGTGCCAGACGTTCACTTTTACGTTCACTTACAACGCCGGGAGTGGAGGTTGAATGACTACGAATGGAAAGGCTAAACAGACTAGCGCAACGTGATCCGCCCTGGACTAACTATTTTAATAAAATGTATGTCACATTTTCTCTCTTGAGTGTTCTTAATGTTGACCGTAAACAGCAACAGTGTTAAAGGTGTACTTCTCTCCATCTGTTGTGTTACCGCGGTTCCCTCAGGGTGTTTCTTCAGCGGACATCTTGGGACACCTTACAGTGTCGTTCTTCCTGCACTTNTACTCTTAAATTTCTGATGGTAGCGTACCCTGACGGTCTTAGAACTCGCGGGGTGGGAATGAATTCATTCCTCTGTTGAGCGTGTGCTAAATACTATAACAGTCATAGAATCCTTTTTAACCACTATCATTTTATTCTACGAACAAGTAATAATAAACAGGTGGCATATAATAAAGTAAGTCAGCTATAAATATTATACTATAAGCAAACAATATTCTCTACTAAATTCATTTCTAAGGTTAACTCTATATCGTAAAAAGTCGTCCTAATAAGCAGAATAAAAATATATATGAGAGGAAATCAAGACCCTCACACCCAGTCTATTAATATTCTTGCCATGATTTTATTTGGACATAAGTCAATCCTTAACCTTATAATCTTCACAATTTTTCTCTCTAGCACTTCACTCAAATAAATAATTTCATTCGCAATCTAGTCATCGATACCAGCGGAACTGTCGCGTATGACCAATTCCATTGCTGTATCCACGGGCCATTAAAATAACATAATGAATAACGAATAAGCATTCCCTAGCAACAAAGCATTATTGTGTGTTGTTTTTGCTGCGTTTTCTCATCCTTTTCCTGTTTCTTTCTCAGTATATGGGAAGAGAGCAACAACTTGTCTGAATTATGAGAGTTCAATACACAAGTATTCTATAAATACGTTAATTCATAAAGCATTTCAACATAAAATCTGAGGGTAAAACACTTTAATACTAGCACTGAGCCAAACTGTATACGAGAGGAGAGCAACACACTTCTGACGAGAAATCCTTAAAATAAAATAAAAACTTTTGCTTTCCCAGAATGAATTGTTAATATCGAATCAAGCAAACCATTTATAAAGGATCATTATAATTTCCTATTACACACACACTCACACATATATGTGTGTGTGTGTGTATGTGTGTTTGTGTGTGTGTGCACAAACACACATATATGTGTGTTTGTATGTATGTATGTGTGTGTGTGCGCGTGTGTATGTATTGATTTCAAATTCATGTCAGTATATATTTCCTCATGTAATTGACAGAAGATATGTTAAAGAAATGATTGTTAAGGCACTGAATGACTACCATATTCGGTGAAATGAAGTTACTGAGATATTAAGGAATTTCCGTAAAGAAAAGTTCGAATAATAGGGAAAAAAACTTTCACCACGAGAACTCTATGCATAACTACCAATTATCTCAAACTTCAGTTGGTCTGGATGAAAGTCCTAGCTCTCTGCCTCACTTCAAACCCCAATCACGGTGACCTATTCCCAAATCGAAAGTCATAACTTGACTCTGACCTGTCATGACCCCTCAGGAACTGCTGGAGCTGCACATGGTGGCACTGCAGCACGAGGACATTCACGCTGCCACTCTCATCCAGACCAACTTCATCAACCCACAGGTAATTCTGGTCCTATTTGTTTGATATCATACCCATTCCCCTGTTTCATTTGCTCTAACTTTCCAACTCCGAGAATCATCGTTGTTGCACAATCCACGGCAGAAGTTCGCGCCTAACTGATCTATTGTGTATTATTATTATTATTATTATTATTATTAATTTTATTATTATCATTATTATTATTATTATTATTATCATTATTGATATTTATATTATTATTACTAGTTATCATTATTATTATCATTATCATTATCTTTATTATCATCATCATCATCATTACTGCTGCTACTACTACTACTGCTACTATTACAACTACTATTATCACCATTATTATAATCATTATTCATTTCTCTTTTGAAGTAAGCTGGTAACAGCGTATATCAGAGATAAAACGAAGCGTGAACTAATGAACGTTGTAGTATGCGCTGAATAAGGATAATAATAATAACAATTATCATTATCATTGTTCAGCAATACAACAGCATTCACACAAATTCCTCCCACACAGTGTTACCAGATCAACGTAAAAAAAACTTGTGTGGTCGAGTGTGCTATTAATACTTCATCTGATTTCTTAAATTCTATTCATATTATTAGTCTTCCTAAGAGACATTTATCTTTCCGAAGTCTTAAATCTGAAATGTTAGCTTTCATAACAGTATGAATGGCAGAAAAATACACAATACCCAAACTGGATTCATTGAAAATGACAATTTCATAATCCTCCTGGATTTCATCTTTAGGTCTGAAGATGATTTATAATAAATCTAGTTTGTGCATTGTTATTGTTATTATTTTATTATCATTATTATCATCATTGTTATTATATTTGATACTATTATATTGATATTATTTTGTCAATATCATCATTATCATTACTATTATTACTATAACGATTATTATCATTGTTATTGTTATTATTATCACATTATCATTGTCATTATTATTATTGTTATCATCATTATCAACATTGTTATCCTCATTATTATTATGATTATCATCATCATTATAATTATCATAAAAATCATTATTATCATTACCTTCATTATTGATGTTATGATTATCATCATTAATAATACTATTTCCACCATTATTGTTATTATGGTTACGATTATCACTTTTTTATTGCTAATATCATCATTATCATTATTATCATTAATGTCATTATTATTGTCATTATTATTATCATCATCATTATTATTATTATTGCCATCCTTGTTGTTATTGTTGAAATCATTATTTTCATTATCATTATTATCTTTATTCCTATCATCAATATTATCATTATTATTGCTATCATAATCAATGACATAATTATCAGTACTAATTATTATCATTAATGTCATTATTATTATTGTTGTTATCATTATCATCATGGTTTATAGCATTATTGTGATTATCATCATGAGTATTATTTTTAGTGATAATAAGAATGATAGAAATAACATTGTCATCATTATTATCATTATTGTTAGTAATAATGATAATGATGATAATGATAATAACTATGATGATGGTCATAATGATAAATTCATAATGGTGATAATGACAATAGTAATGATTGTAATAATAATGATAATAGTGATGATAGTAATAAAATTTATATAGTGATAATGATAATGATATTGATAGTAGTAACAACACTGATATAATAATGATAATGATGATAGTAATGATGATAATGACGATGATAGGAATAAAGATAATAATGATGACGATATTATTAATTGCAAAAATGATAGTAATAAAAAAGATAATAATGATAATGATAATAATAACAATAATGATAGCAATGATGACAATGACAATGATTAAGATGGAAATGATAATAGTAATAATAGTAAGATTAATGTCAAAGTTAATATAGCTATAGTAGTTATTTTTGTCATTATTATCATTACTATTACCGTTATTATCATCATTATCATTATTGGCATCATCATCCACGCTATCACTACATTAAATCAATTAATGGTGGCGGTGTTATTCGTATCATTAACTACAACATTAATATCATTACCATTATCATAATAATATCATCATCATAACAATGACTACCACCACTGCTATTACAATGATCATCATCACCCTCATCCTATTGCAGGTCGAGAAGATCTTCACCATCAGTCAGTACATCACTAATCTAGAACGAGTAGGACCTGGTCTTGGCGAGTACATGTTCGACAAACTCCCGCAGAATTAACTGGTACAAATTGGAACAACACTAGATGAGTGGCGTCGGCGATTGCACTGTGAGACGGGAACTTTGCTGAGGCGATTCTACTTTGAGAGCGAATGTGTCTGTTGAGGTAATACCGACAGACATGCATACAAATATATATATATATATATATATATATACATATACATATATGTGTGTGTGTGTGTGTGTGTGTGTGTGTATGTGTGTGTATGTGTGTCTGTGTGTGTGTGTGTGTGTGTGTGTGTATGTGTGTGTATGTGTGTCTGTGTGTGTGTGTGTGTGTGTGTGTGTGCGTGTGTGTGTGTGTGTGTGTGTGTGTATGTGTGTGTGTGTGTGTGTGTGTGTGTATGTGTGTGTGTGTGTGTGTGTGTGTGTGTGCGTGTGTGTGTGTGCGTGTGTGTATATGTGTGTGTGTGTGTGTGTGTGTGTGTATGTGTGTGTGTGTGTGTGTGTGTGTGTGCGTGTGTGTGTGTGTGTGTGTGTGTGTATGTGTGTGTATGTGTGTCTGTGTGTGTGTGTGTGTGTGTGTGTGTATGTGTGTGTGTGTGTGTGTGTGTGTGTATGTGTGTGTATGTGTGTCTGTGTGTGTGTGTGTGTGTGTGTGTGTGCGTGTGTGTGTGTGCGTGTGTGTATATGTGTGTGTGTGTGTATGCGTGTGTATGTGTGTGTGTGTGTGTGTGTGTGTGTATGTGTGTGTGTGTGTGTGTGTGTGTGTATGTGTGTGTGTGTGTGTGTGTGTGTGTGCGTGTGTGTGTGTGCGTGTGTGTATATGTGTG